ATGTACCGGTCAAATTTCGGTGTACCGGCCGAAATTTCGGCCGATACATCGGAATTTGACCGGTACACCCGAAATTTGACCGAAACAAAATTTTAACCTATTTCGTTTCGGTTAACCTCTAAAACCGGCACGTACTGGCCGTATCGGCCGGTACGATACGGTACAAACTACCTTGGTTCAGACTGGGGTCGAAGATTTATTTGGGTCTGTCCTCTTATTATATATTATTACAGACGTGTGCGGAGTGTAAGGACATAGTTAGTGTCTCATTCAAGAGTCACATTGTTATAAGCAAATAAGAATTTGTTACTCAAGTGCGCTTCACAATTTCACATTTAAAAAACTTATTTACTAGTTAATTTCACAATTTACCAATAATGCCTCTAATATATTTTTGCTTCTACAATATAAGAAAAAATTGCTCAGAAAACTAGGTCTGGTGGAGACTAGAGACTGATGAACTTCTAGTTTGAAAAGCAAATATCGAAAAAATTGCCAAGGAAAGTAAGGCAAAGAGAGCATTCTTATCATTACCGTACTGTACCAGTTGATACAATGATATGTATCAATTTTTATATTAGATTGAAATAATATATGGTTTAATTTTGTTTCGATCAAATTTTGTTTGTTTTGGTCAAAAAATTTTTTTTTTGAAAAGCAAAAAGAATTTTATTAAGCGAGTACAAGGGGTACTCAAACCCATTGACATCAGTAAACAAATTACATCCTGGAAGTGGGTCAAACAAACAAATTTCCAAGGTATTCCCAATACAGGAAACCTGGAGCTCAACTCCCCATCTACTCTCTACTTCCTATTTGTCAAGCAACTCACTGGGTTGGTAAACCATTCTATGAGGGAAAAATTTTCTAATTTCAACATAGTTCTAACCCAATGGAATGATCGGGTTTGTACAAGCTCAAATAGCGCGTCCTCATTTACCTTCTTGTGTTGAAAGGCTGTTTCATTTCTATTCAACCACAATGTTGATCAGTATTTTGTTTTAGTCAAATTTTAATGTTGATCAGTATTTTGGCATATTGTTGATACACGAAAATTGACTAGTAGCATTCAATTCAAATTTAAAAATGGTAAATTTTATTTTTGGTCCTCAACTTTAATGTTCTATATAATTTTCATCATTTAACTTTTATATGTATTTTTTTAATCCATCAATTATGAAAAATGTATTTTTTAGTCATTCTATCAATTACTCTATTAAATTTGTCTAAACATATACATTTTTCATCCCTTAACTTAAAGTGAATGGACGAAAAATATACATATATTAGAAGTTGATGAACTAAAAATAGTTATTTAAATCTTGTTTTTAATTTATAAGAAAATAATGGTTTTAAATATTAGTATCTCTTATTTTATTTTAAAATTTAATATTTAATTTATAAAAATATATATTTAGAACAATAAATCCAAAACAATATGCAAAAATTATAGTATCTAATATATACCATTTTAGTAATAAAATCAATATACATATTGAAACATACTGACAACTTTGAGAGATAGGGAAGAAAAATAGCAAAAAAAAGGGAATAAAACAAGATACACCTGCAGTTTTCATTGTCCGATATTGACTGAATACTCCCACGACTTCACACGCAATGTGCAATTGTATTTTGGGGTTTCTATCAAGGTTTAGGTGGAGGATAAGGAAAGTAGGAGAGGTGAGAATTTTCAGAAAACAGTAAATTCTCTTTTCTCTGGCCCTTTCAAAAAATTAATTATACTGCAGACAAAAAACAAATAAATAAGAAAGAATTATAAATGCTAGCCTCCTGTAATTAACATTTATATCATATGGGATATTTTATGTTTTAAATGTTGAACTATACATTAAAAATACAGTATAAATATTGAAATTATTAAATTATTATTAATAAAAATAATTTTATTAATAATAATTTAATAATTTCAATATTAAATTGCACTTTAATACGCAATTCAGTTTGTAAAATATTTTTTCGCACTCATACGAACACACACAAAAAAATAATCATAAAGGTTTTCCATTTTCAGTCTTATAAATTTCAGTTTTAGAATGGTGTTTTTGCAGTCCATCTTTGTAGCTACTGCAGACACCGTAGCCCCTTTGATCAATGGGGCCAGCTCCTGATTCCATGAGAGTCTCACTAATCTGGAATGCAGAAGACTTTTCTGTTCCAGTTTAGTCGTACCTCTTCTTGTATAGAATGAAAGTCAGCTTAGTTTTCAAAAAAGAATGAAAGTCAGCTTAACACAAAAACAAAGATCATGGTTGTGGCCACTATTATTTTGGTTAGAATCATCAAAATTGTTAAATTCTTATTTTAATTTAATTGTTAAAAATAATTAATAATTAATAAAATAATTAATATTTATTAGTTAATTGATTAAAATCAATTTATAAATAAAAAAATTTAAATATTATAATTATTTATTTAAAAAAATTATAAATTGATAAAATTACATATAAAATTAGTGGTTTTAAAAAAAACCAGTAACCTCAACAGAAAAAAAAGCTGGTAGTAATAACCTGCCAAGACAGGACGGTATATGGGCGTGGAATAAAATTGATGGTACGTTGCACAAAAAATAATTTTGGATAGAGAGCTATCACAATCAAAATTGCCGTTGTTATTATTATTATTTTTTTTTAACAAGGGTAATGGTTAAGAAGTTAGTAGAGTTAGATGTTAGCAACTGGGACTTCCTAGAATAGTGAACATTCCACCCCTCAGATGAGGCGCGCGACCATTAGGTCGCAAGTTGATGGAGTTCACGACGGTGGCAGAATTTGAAGCCCTGACCTCCCGCCTCACCCAAACCCTAAGGCTTGGGGCTAACCACTAGACCACAGGCCCGGTTGGTAAAATTGCCGTTATTAGAATAAAAGTAGTTTTGGATATGCAGTTAGATAAAAGGGAACTCACAGTTAAGACAATACATACATAGAAAGCAACAGTTTATATCCAGTTAGAAGCAAAGCAATGGTTGGCGGTTCAACTTACCAGAAAGAGACAAAGATACCTAAACCATAATGACTCTGCATTTTTCTGAGACTCTTGGTAGCATCAATAACTCTTCTGCTATCATAACCAGTTCTTCCTCATTTGCGTGAATTTGAATTTTCAAGTTCTCCAAAACTCTTGCACGTTCAAGAAAATACAAAACCATTTCTATTTGATCTTCACCCCAGGTGTAACTGATAAAACTTCAATTGTATTGAGGTTAATCAATAAATAACTGACTCCATAATAATCCTGGAGCACATACCAGTGATCAGGATTCCACTTAAATGGTTCTTCAATCTGGATCATAATCTGTGCGCAAGTCCAAAACAAGTATTTCTAGAGAATAACATCTTGCAAGAAAATCCAATAGCTAGTCCTGCCAAGCCAAAAGATTCACGATACGAAATTCTCAGATTTGTCAAATCATGGAATGAAGGGATTGGAACACTGGTCTCTTTAAAATACTGCAAAAAGTAAAGTAATAGTTAACTGCACATTTTTTGTTATAGAAAAATCACTAAACTGAAAATCTGTGCAATTCATAATTCAATTAGAGAGACATCACCAGAAAACCTACATATAGAGTATCGGAAGATAGATGAAGTGTCTTGATGTTGACTATCCCTCTCATCAGATCACTTGCAGTTTGAAGGTAAATCTAATCCTCCAAATGTTTGTCGAAATACATACTGGCTTCAGCAAGAGACTGCACAATTTCAAATACAAGAGAGTTTGCTTCACAAGGATCGTATCTAGACAAGATTTGGGGCATTAATCACAATCTCAAAAATGTTATGGAACCCAAAGCATGTGGATTTTATTGTCAGCCTCTTGAGTGAAGAACTAGAAACGCATAATTTGCCGTTGTCATCCTCTCGCTTATAATTTGTTCATAAGCAAATCCTCAAAAACAGGGCAATTAGAAAATAGCCTTTCAGACAAAGTATGTTGTTCCTCGAACCCTCTCCTCCATCTTGACATCATGTGCCTCGATCACAAGATCAAATAAAATAATAATTAGTGAATTTATCAAGAAATATTGATGAGAAAATATCATTGAAATAAACGTGAAAAACTTATTTATTTTAAAACCATTCACGCCTCTACTGAGAGTTGATCAACAGGTGCAATAGAGATATATATAACATGTCGCCCCCAAGATACTATAATTTTATAATTACAATATATGAATCTGCACTATCTATAAAGTCACCTAACTCAAAACATGAATATTTGGAAGATAAAGTAAAGTAAGGAAAATAGGAGAATGTGGAGGAACTCTCTCCTTTAAGCAAATAGACATGTCTTATTTATAAGACTTATGATCTTATAACTCTCATTTGTAGGTTAATTATAAAAATAAATTGAATAATTATTATGAAATAATGTGACATTAAGGTAATTAACCTACAACAGTTAGTTTGATTAAGTCTTTAATAGAATAATAAATTCAATTTAAAAAATATATTATTTTATTTTTTATTAAAATATTTAAATTCCAACAAAGTAAGGGAATTTCTACAGTGAAGAATCTAAGACTTAGTAGCCAAACTTTGGTAGGGACTCCTAAACTTGACTGAGACTGAATGCACAATTTCAGAGCCACCAATGTGGTACAAGTAAATAAACTAGTAGGCAGCTGCAGGTGGTAATGCACCAAGCGCAACTTTGAGCCAACCTATCTTGAGATTAATTCCATAATTTACCTTGTACGATAGTTGTAATGTGTGAGCCCGGTTATTGTATCTTAGTTCACCCTTTAAGCTCCTAATTTAGCCTTTCATCTATTCCTCCTTGTCAATCTTAAAAATAACCTCTTCACCAACAGCTTAAATGATCTAATGATAATCTTCATTTAATGGAGATTTAAGGTCTAGAATTTGAATTGAATAACATATGAACAGGGCCAGTTAAGAAAAAAAGAGATACTTACTTTTCATTATACAACTGAAAAGAAAAAAAAAATTCCCCTGATACAAATTCTAGCTGATCTTCCCATTACAATCTGTAGTAAAAAGGCCTTTACCCAATATTCATTTAATTTGTTGATTGTTGAAATCGTTTCCTTTACATCTGCTCATTTCCCTCAATCCTAAGTTCCAAGCTTGGAGAGTAATTACAAGAGAGAAAAGACTTCATTTTACATCATCAGTGAAATAAGAAACTTATTATTCCAATCCATATGTTCAAGAACTCGAAATGCTTTGTGTAGAATACAGACAAAAAAAATTGGATTCTAAACTTCCACATCCATCAATCCTACCAGCTCTTCTAGTCTAGAATGGAAATCAGCTAACACAATAATAAAGCATACAAAACAGTGCAGTATATGAAATTGATAACATTGCAAAAGACAACAATTTTGGACACGAAGCTAGCTATCTCAACCAAAATTAATGTTACTAAAACAAAAAAGTATTGTACAGTTTAAATTACATAAGTGGTTGGTTGAATTGTATTAAACCAAACAAGTCCTCTAAAATTAAGCTTTCTTATATTAATACTACTTACTATCATCATTTATTTTTAGTTAACTTTTCAATCGTACACGAAGAATATTTTAGCAAACATTAGAAAAACACAATCATTAGTCTTTTAAATTTTATTTTTACTTTTTACTTCTATGCTAATGAAAAAATTTATTAAAGCATTTAATAAAAATAAAATGGAAACAAAAGGTTTAATACAGTTTCAAAAATAAAAAATTTGACAGTTAAATTAAGAGATTAATATTCATTAGTCAAACTAGACAAAAAAATTAGGCAAAAAAATATAAAATGATGTTATTTCAATAAAATCTTATATATGAAATAAAGACTAAAACAACTTGATTCTTATATTAAAAATTAATTAAAATGATATAATTTTGAGATAACTTTTTACTTAATTTTTTTACAAATACAATCAATAAATATTTTCTTATTTTAAAACATATTTTTATAATAAATGTATCAACTAAAAGTAGACCAAAGTATTATTAGCTCGATCATGTGATAAAAGTAGAATAGGTTCACCCTTCATCCATGGTACAGATGCACCGTACCTCCAATTTTTAATTCACCTTAAAAGTAACCTTCTCTAGGTGCAAACTGCAAATTCTTGTTTGCCCTTCCAACCACAGCGCGCTGTGTGCCTCAGCAACAAAGGGCTAGGGAAGGCCACCTGAAGCACACGTGGTGAAGGGAGAGTGACTAGAATCATTAATTTTAATTAACAAACAATATAAACTTTATAGATTTTTTTTCTTTATGATTAAATTCATTCTCAAATTCAAATTGGGGCCAGCCTACGTGTGACATGGTGCTTGGTTCATGTTGATGATAACTTGCTATTGTGTTGCATGTGATGTCATGATTTACACATGATGGCAGTTGCAATACCATATGATGTCACTGGAATCATTACTTTGTCATTGGAGGGAACAAATATAACGCCGTGATGATTTAAGTACATTTATATGTGGCCACATCTCATCATTAGTAATTATCCATAAATCAATCATTCTTTATATCATCATACCGCAATAACCAACCCCATGGCTTTGCGGCTCTGTGATTATTCCTAAAATATGTACTTCGTTTAGGTTCACAATTGACCTATCAATCAAACTTGTACATGACGTAAATCCAACCTATTAGCTTCTTAAAAGATGTATGTATTTTAATTTATACTGTTTAAAAAATTATAATCTAAAGTAAATAATTTTAACAATGTAATGGTAATTTTGTTTTGTAAAAATAAAAAATTTTGAATTTAAATTAGATAACATATAAATAAAGTAAATTAAAAAATAAGTAAAATTTTTTTTCTTACTATACAACTCAAAATTTTAAAAAAAAATCTTAAGTTATAAAAAGTATGAAAACATCTATAATATATTTTATTCGGTTTAAATATTTAAATAAATTAATAACCCAGTTATAAAGAGAGACATTTTTGTTTCAAAAGCTTGTGGGTAGTACAACTACGAATCACAAGTATTCTTAGAAATCTATAAGTGAGTTAATTATTCTCAAAATTAAAAAATCATTGAAATTTTGAAATCAAGACATGAGCTATAGGCAAAACAAGCTGAACTACTATATTTTGGTTTTAAAATAGTTTATTTCATTTAGATCACATCTAATTTGAGGGTATTGAAAAGGTGGGATTTGGAGGAGAACAAATGTAGATGCATTAATTAAAACCAATGCTAGCTGTGTGGTTAATTAGGTGCTGAGCTAAACTGATTTATCTGGATGCATATGAAATTTGTGGATTCTTTAAAAAATATAGGTAGGGTCATGACTCATGACATCATACCTGTCTCGTTGGACAACAACAACAGTAAATAAGTAATTACGGAGTATAATTATAATAATCCACACCAACTAAACTTTGGCATCCGTCCGTTCGTATCTGGAACTCTTGATTTTCTAGATTGTCATAATAGAAAATCTTAAAGTATAACAAACTTATCGTAAGGGTTTCGTCTTTTGTCTAACTTTTGTCCTTGGACCTTACTCCTTCTACTTTAATGCACAATTTAGGATTTTTTTTTTTTTAGGGATCTTCTAAGTTGTGTCTTTAGGGCATAAGTTAATTAAGGCTCATTTATTATAATATTTATAATTAATTTTATATAAATTTTTATATAAGATTCAAATAAAATATAATATAATATAATATTTTACTTTAAAATCTATAAAAAATCATAAATTTGATATAAAAATGTGCGTAAAATTAATTTAAAATATCTTAATTAAAAATACTTTAAGGGCACATATTAGACAAACTCTTTTTTTATCATTTTATTTGTGGTTTTTAGTTTTTAATACAACATTAATCAACTATCTTCTTATTTTGCCTTTAAACATTAATTATCTCTTGTACTGAAACAACAGGTAAAAAATGAGTTCTGAAAGGGTAAATTAGTCCGTTAAACATATCTATCTCTAAAATCAAGAGCAATTTATTATTTTTCTTAATTATATTGCCCTCTCCTAAAATGTTGAATACTGTGAAACAAAGAAAGTAATAATTTATAGATGGATTTATATAACATGTAATCTAGAAAGAACTTGTTAAAACTTATTAATTAAGATATTTTAAATTAATTTTGTATAAGTTTTTATATTAGATTTATAATTTTTTATAAATTTTGAGTATAAATATTATATTATTCATTTTATATTACATTTTATTTAAATCTTGTATAAATTTTTTTGTAAAATTAATTATAAATATTGTAATTAATGAGGGTGCAAATTAAAAAATGCCTTTACATGTTACGAGTGCATTTATTGTATTTTTTAGATTTTAATTTAAATGTGAAAATAAAAAACTCACATTAATTTTTATGCTCATACAATTTAGATTTTTTAACTGAAAGGCATTGGAAATGAGGCATTAATTAGGGTATCAAGTGTGAATTATTCATCGAAAACGTTCTAATTATAATGTCATATAATATTATAAATTTATAATAAAATGTTTCATAATATAATTAATTTTTTTATTTAAAAATTCACCTAAAATATTATATATATCCTTTTATTTAATACCATATCATATTTATCTAATTTTATATCATAATTTATAATCTTACTAACATTATAACTATAGTATTCCTATTTTTTAATTAATTTACGACCAATTTCAATGGAAATCTATCCAATATTTAATACTACTTTTAAGATTTTTTTTTAAAAATTTATTTTTTAAAAAATAAAAAATAAAAAAACCGAACCTACCAATGCTGCTCCTCGGTCCTCCTACCCGTCCAAATGAGATCTTTCCCCTTTCTCTCGTCCCTTCTCAGAAAACCCTAAAAATCAAAACTTGCAATTTCATTTATCATTAAAAATTGAAGAAGCAAACAAATAAAAAAACAAGTGCATATGCAGGAGCAATCAAAGTGTGCAGTGATCTGAAGGCCGCAAAGAAAAAAAAAGGAAAAAAAAAAGTAGTGATCTGAGGCAATGAAACAAAATGGAATTTTACCCTTCACGAAATTTGGGGCTAACTAGATTGAGTGGGTGGTTCTTAGAGGTGATAAGGCAAGATAGAGCGGCAGCTTTTGAAGCAGCAATGGTGAGATTCCTGCAATTGGCGCAATAGAGTGAAGAGATGAAAAGGGGTTGGACCTGGAAATCGATCGAGGCGCTGGAGATGGAGGTGTGTGAAGTGATAAAATTTAGAATATAAAAGAGGTTGGTAATGAAACCGCTTTAAGCATTTCGATTTATATGGATAATTTTTGTTGGGTTCGTGGCATATGTTGCAGAGACAAAAGATAGTAAGAAAGGAATGAGGGAGGAAGGAGATAGAAAGGGACGGTTGGAGAAGAATAAATTGGGTGATGACAGAGATTTTTAAAATTCAAGAGTAATTTTCCCAGTCTACCATTTAATAAGGGGTAGAATGGTTGTAAGAAAAAAAAAAAAAAGTTAAAATCTGTCCATTGAAATCGGCGTAAATTAAATTAATGTTTTAAAAGAATAATAAATATATTGATGATATATATATCTTAAGATATAAGTTAAAAAATTTCATCTTATAATATTTAAAAAATAATTTTTATATAATTTTTTTGTTTTATTTTTTTTATAATTTGACATGTCATTTAAATGATTAGTTTTTTTAATTTATATGAAACACATAATATTAAATGCATCCACTCATTTAATGATATGTGAAAATTGTATAAAAAAATAATATAAAAAAATTATCCATAAAACACAACCCATGATACTTTATTCTGTTCATTTAAATAAATATTATAAAAATCGAAGAAAACTGGAGCTTAGAGTAGAAGAAAATTGAAGCTCAGTTACCACCTTCATATTATATTATTTGGGCTTTTAAATGAAATGTTATATTAATGAACAAGAAAAAATGTTAATATTATTTCTTAAGGAATTTCATGGTACGTGTTCAAGAAAAAGTTACTAATTTGTATATTTTTCAGCGTTTATCAACCTACACTGCAAAAAATAGGTAAAAGGGTACCTTAAAAATAATTGTTTCAAGAAAAATATTAAAATAACTAATTTTTAAAACAAAAATAAAATTATTTGGCCTTTAACAAAGTTTTCTTTTTCAAAAAAAAAAAAAATCTTGAAATATTTTTTCACATCTCTTTTTTTTTTTCTAATTTTTTTAGATTTATTTCTTTCTTATTGTTTTATGAGTTTTTCTTTCTTTAAAATAATTAAAGGACAACTTTTTTATATGAGATCTTTATATAATTTTATATGTTATTTAATGATTAATTTTTTTATTTTATTAAAATTTATAATATTATATATATTTATTTAATAATATATAAAAATTATATTAAAAAATAATTAAGATACTACATGAAAAAAGTTTGTGAGAAATATTATCAAGCAAATCTTTAAT